CGGCTCTGAATGCTAAGTCGTCTGATATATGATGAAATCGTGCTCGATTACACGGCATGTCTGGATGAACGCCGGTTATAACGCTCTCCTCCGTCATCTGATCATCATTAGATGAATTACAGCTGCCATGATTGCTAGGAAATGTATTATTAACTCTTTTCAACTCTTATAAACAAAATTCAGCATGCTTTCCATATGCAGTACAAGCTCAAGCCTGTGAATAATATTTTATTCTATTATAGGCTTGTTTGAACCGTGCTTGCATTTCTAAGAATGACGATTATCTAGTTTACAATACTGTTCAAAAGTTTGGGATCAGCAATAATTTATACTTTTATTCAGGAAGAGTGTATTAAATTGATCAAAAGTTACAGTAAAGAAACGAAACATTTCTATTTCAAATATATGCTGTTCTTTTGAACTTTCTATTCATCAAAGAATCCTGAAGAATAAAATCTATCGTGGATTTCACAACATTTCAACACTGATAATAATCATAAATGTTTCTTGAGCAGCAAATCCTCATATTAGAGTTATTTCTGAAGGATCATGTGAAACTGAAGACTGGAGTAATGATGCTGGAAATTCAGCTTTGATCACAGGAATAAATTACATTTTAAAATAAATTCACATAGAAAACTATGGAAACTTGTTTGCGCCACAAAAAAAATTGCGACAAAAAAACCTGACAATCGCGAGACAAATAGACAGAATTGTGAGATTAAAAAGTCGCAATTACCTTTTTAATTTTTTATTCAGTGACGGAAACAAGCTTTCATAGAAAGCAGTTATTTTAAATTGTAATAATATTTCACAATATCACTGTTTTACTGTATTTTTCATCAAATAAATGCAGCCTTGGTGAGCAGAAGAAACTTCACGACCCCAAAGCTTTGAACACTAGTGTAAAGACTTCTGCAGTAGCAGCACAGATTAATCTGGACTGCGGTTGGTTAGTGAATAAGATGCATGTTAATGCAAGCAAAACTGTGTCATGAATTCACCCCTGAGTGTTTGAATTGCTCAGGTTGGTGTGTGACCGTCTTGTAATGTGCCCTTGGCGTTACACACTTGCACAAACACAACCAACCACACAGCCTGATGCCACATTCACAAACCTCTTCAAGAAATACCTCTTTAATTTATAATCACTTTTTGCAACGCATTGATCCGCATTGTTATTTTTGTTTCAGTGTTCGAGTGAATGTCTGTGTTTCTGTGCATGTTCTGTTATGGGCTGGATCTTCGTCAGGCTGGATGCCACATTTCACTGGATAGACGTACAGTCTGTTCATGAGCTAGTTCTGTCTTCAGCTCTTGGGTCATGTCTAATTTTCACAACCCATGCTTTCCAGAGCTTTTATTTGAATTGAATGATGCCCTGGCTCAGGTTCATCGCACACAAAACTATACTGGTTTACCAAATTGTATTTAAAGTGAGACATTTCACATTTTTGTTCTATGTTTTTGGGGATTGACTGGGGATTGATAGGCAAGGTGAATGATCTACCAAAGCGATGGATGGATGGATGGATGATAGATAGATAGATAGATAGATAGATAGATAGATAGATAGATAGATAGATAGATAGATAGATAGATAGATAGATAGATAGATAGATTAGATAGATAGATAGATAGACGGACGGACGGATGGATGGATGGATGATAAATGGATAAATGATAGATGGATGGATGGATGGATGGATGGATGGATGGATGGATGGATGGATGGATGGATGATAAATGGATGGATGATGGATGGATGGATGGATTGGTGGATGGATGATGGATGGGTGGATGATAGATAGATGGATGGATGGATGGATGATAAATGGATGGATGATAGATAGATAGATGGATGATAGATGGATGGGTGGATGGATGATGGATGGGTGGATGATAGATGGATGGATGATAAATGGATGGATGATAGATAGATAGATGGATGATAGATAGATAGATAGATAGATAGATAGATAGATAGATAGATAGATAGATAGATAGATAGATAGATAGATAGATAGATAGATAGATGGATCATGGAAAGATAGATGGATGGATAGATAGATAGATAGATAGATAGATAGATAGATAGATAGATAGATAGATAGATAGATAGATAGATAGATAGATAGATAGATGACAGATGGATGGATGATAGATAGATAGATGGATAGATAACAGATGGATAGATGACAGATGGATGGATGATAGATAGATAGATAGATAGATAGATAGATAGATAGATAGATAGATAGATAGATAGATAGATAGATGACAGATGGATGATGGATGATAGATAGATGGATAGATAACAGATGGATAGATAGATAGATAGATAGATAGATAGATAGATAGATAGATAGATAGATAGATAGATAGATAGATAGATAGATAGATAGATAGAACGATGCACCTCTTTAATCGACAGTCACACGCTTCTATTCCACTTCTCACAGTTACTGTATTAATATCATGGTTTACTTTAACTTTTACTTGTGTATCACTTGTAATGTTCTCGAAGACACTATAACGACCTGTGAACTCATGAGTGAATCTCACGAAACCCGTCAGGAACACGTCTGGATCACGTTTCACCTGGAATTCAACAGAAATACTAGACAGGAATTTGTTTTCTGAAACTTTTGTCAATTTTTAGGTCCACTGAGATTTTTTGTTTGTTTACCTTGCAACATTATTTTCATGAGATTTTTATTTTCACCCTTTCAATCTTTCACAAAATTCACATTCTCAACTCTATAATGTAAAAAACTAATGATATAATTGAAATCATATTGTATCATCATGGTTGTTGTTATTATAACAAACTAAAACCATACAAATTTTAAATAAAATATAAAAAGTTTTTAAAAAAAAGTTTCAGCTTTTGTTTCACTTCCAATTTTCATTTAGTTTACCTTGATTAAATAAAAGTAAAACCGAAATCAAAATTAATAAAACTATAATCGAAACTAATAAAAGCGACAAAAAATGACTAAAACTTTAACTGAAATTAAAATGAAAACTGAAAATATAAAAAATCGAATTAAAAATATTAATTAAAAACTATAATAGATATAACTATCTCAATTATAATAAAATAACACCGGTATTCACCATTGTGGCATTATTTATTGTACATGCTTTTTGATTGTATGACATTGTTTTAAAATCTAATCAACATATTTCCACATGATTTCTTTTCTTTTCTTCTGTTTTCTGCTTGATTTTGCGGTTAAATGTGACCAGGACGTGTCGTCATGAGATTCACCCTTATACTGAACACATTTTATCACTGTGGAAATTACAAATTCACAAATTCCATTATTCTTACTGCCTTTGAACGTAACAGGGATTTTATCAACTGTTTTGTATTGATATTCATATAAAACCTCATAGAATTGACATCAGTTTAACCTCTTCATGTTTTGTTCGATTACTGCAGTGTTCTGGCCTTGTTTGTATCTGCATTTCTGTTTTTGACTCATAGATCATAGATCTAATAGATTATCTACTATTTTTTTCCCAGCATTTGAAAGATGTCAGATTGGGCAAAGCTTTAATGTTCTTCACAATAATCTGGGACGTTTTGGTCAGTTTTGAGTTTAGTTCCTCTGAGATCCGAGGAAAGCCGTGTTTTATAGTCTTGAACTGTTTCCCAGCAGCGCAGTCTGTTCTTTTCCTTAAGGATGACATCATTTTCCCTTTGGATGCTGTGCATCCCTTGCTTTATTTAAGGGAAAGTACTGCTATTGTTTGATGTATTTATTGTTGTTGTTTTTTTGTGTACATGTTATCATAATTATATTTTTATTATTTATAAAGTGTATATACCTGGAATTTATTGCTCAGATTTTTATACAGATGATGCATTTAAAGAGAAATATACATTTTACCTTTGTGTCATACGCGTTTCATTTAGTGTTTTATTTTGCACCAACATTTGCATTCCAGAGTTCTAATGGAACTTTGTTTTCCGCAGTCAGTGTCAGTTTGACCTCTGACCCCTGAATAATCAACGCGACTGCGCCATCTAGTGGACAGTCAGGGGAAGTTCAATAAAGAGATGCTCAAAACATTCAGAGAAGCAGCGTTGGGAAGTCACTAATTAAACTAATTACTTCTTCAGCGGTGTTCTCTCTAAAAAAGTATTGCTACACTTATTACTAATTAATAAAGAAATCCCATATCAACCTTGATGAACAATACACGTATAGATATGAACTGCTCTTAAATAATATGAAAAAATATATATAATAAAATAAAATTGCATATATTCTTGAACTGACAAGGGTGAAGTTTACATTAAAATGTAGGCTATATTTTATCGTTAGACAAAACTTATCACTTTTGTTTTATATATAAGCCTATATATATATATATGTATGTGTGTGTTTATACAGTATTTAGTGCAACTACATCAGAAGTAACTGGAATTAAATAACAGAAAAATTAAGACTAATCCCTTACTTTACTTTCCCTTACTTAAGTAATTAAATTACAGTATTTAAATATTTAGTAATGCATTAAACCCAGCACTGGTTAGAAGTTAGTAATAATAGCATCTATAGATGCATATAAAGCAAATGAATCAAAGTAAAAATAAGCAAATAACCTACAATGCATAAGTCTACATTGATAATGATTTTTTATATATATAAATATTATAAGCTGTTATCAACAACATCAACAAAAACTTAATATTGAGTAAAATACAATCACCAAGACATTATAACTCTATACATTTCCGTTTTGATGCCATTGGCATACACACTCCGAAGAGTAATGATATGTAGCCTAATTGAAAATTATATATTATATGGTTTTATATTATCTTAATATAAATATAAAACGAAAACATTTATATTCTAACCATTTATTTAACTTAACTGAATATATATACATTTACATTTGATATTTTCGTTCTCTTTCTGTCGCAGCAGCATTTATTTTCGAAACGCATGTCAAGCCAAGTTTGTTCCTTCCCGTTTGCCGTAAAGTGTGAAGTGTGCACAGTGCGCGGGACTCTCAAACATGCCAGTATTTAACAACAACAACGACGAAGACTTAATTTTCAGTTCTAATTAATATGCCAGGGTTAATATCTTATTAAAATACGATAATCGTTGTAGTTTCATACATTCGATGGTGTGGGGATTTCGTTAAACGGATCAGTTAAGTTATTTATTTGTTAGTGCCTGAGGCGGATCACCTCAGAAAAAAAAGACTTGAGAAAAAGAAAATGCATATTTATTTGAATGTATTTATTTAAGTTGGATTAAATTCCTGATTCAGAATGGTAGGTTGCTATATTAATCTTTTAACTTGATGTCGACTCATGTATGTTTAGATACTGTGATCTTTATGTAACAGTTATACATGTTTAGTGTATGTTCTGTTTGTTGTTATTGATTCGTGTTCCGATAACTCAGTAAAATCCACTTCAATTATTAATAACCGCAGAGGAGAAGTTTAGCACCCAGTCAAGTGGCCAAAAGGAAACAAGGGCCGGATTCAGATGATGAGGACTGGGAGCCTGACATCGTGAGTGGGACATAATTAAAGCTCTTGATTGAATGAGGATGTGATTGACACACACACATAACACAAGTATAAATTGTGAATTCTAAAATGTTGATTTTTCTATTTACCCTTTTTAATGTATGCATGAATGTGTATGTTATTTATATAAATGTGTGTGTGTTCTAGATTCACTGTAAACATTAGAAATGCTTGGGCAATACATTGTAACAATTGTCATGCCAATAAAGCACACTTTGAATTGAATTGACTGTTGTCACTCCCACAGGCGTCACAGAGTAAGAGAGGGTGTATAGAAAAATACATCTCTCCCTTCAGAAAACCCCTGACGCCGCTCACCAACACACCCGTCTGCGCAGATGGCAATGAGCATGTGAGTTGTAAATGCAGAGAGGCACATTCACCTAGACTTGTTTGTATGTGAACACATTGAAAATCAAACAAATAAAAAAACTGCTTTCAAAACTGTGAAAAAATGACCTAAAATTGCTATTTTAAATGATTATTATTTATTTATTTTTACAGGAAGACTTCATTCGTAAGATCTTATCAAAGCCGTTTAAAGTTCCCATTCAAAATTATACAGGTAAGTCTGTACTCATAGCTTATGTATTTTTCATGAAGTAATTCGTGTGATGGTAAGCGAGTTGTGGAGGTTCAGAGGGTGTTGTGTTGCTGTGATCAGGCCCGTTGGGTCTGCGGGCTCTGGGACTGAAGCGGGCCGGTGTGAGGAAGGCCCTACACGACCCGTTTGAAGACGGAGCGCTGGTTCTGTACGAGCCGCCTGCCATCAGCGCTCATGAGCTCATCAAAGCAGACAAGTCAGTCATATCTGTTGATTTTCAGATCTTTATATCAGATTTATTTTGCAGCTCCTCACCAATGACATGATCGACTTTGTGATTGATTGTTTTGCAGGGAGAAGTTACCAGTGCATGTGGTTGTAGATCCAGTGCTCACTAAAGTGCTTCGGCCCCATCAACGAGAGGTATGATTTGCTATAGGGGTTCAGTGAGTGGATTGTTACAGAATAACCTCAAAAGGTATAAAATATCAGTCAGATATAATTTCAGTATAATTATAACCAGGGCTTGACATTAACACCCGTTACATGCGGGCGTATTTCAGCAGTGGCATGTAACTCTCCTACTAGCCACTTTGGTGGGTTGAATTATATATATATATAATATTTTAAATTGTAGTCTTGTAAAAAGGCATCCGAAATAATAAACTAAGTGCAATGTAGTGTTGTCAAAAATATTGATTTTTCTTAACGTATCAATGCTGGAATATCTGAAAAGCTTCCAAAATCAATTCTCTCTCTCTCTCTCTCTCTCTCTCTCTCTCTCTCTCTCTCTCTCTCTCTCTCTCTCTCTCTCTCTCTCTCTCTCTCTCTCTCTCTCTCTCTCTCTCTTGCTCCGGATCAGGTCAAGTCATCTTCATTTATAAAGCGCTTTTAACAATGTAGATTGTTTCAAAGCCACTTTACAGAGATAAACATACAATTTCCGGTAACAGAGATTGTTTTGGCTTTATAGCGATTTTTTAATAATGTTATTTCCAGCTAAAGTTAGTTTTGATTGATTCACTTCCAGCAAAATTATCATTTGTTATTACATTAGGGGCCGCTAAGACGACGGCGTTCTCTCTAAACAGACTTTAAACGCGAACCTGTGACCGGATGGCGTTCACATGCGCATTAAGAATTGATTCTATAGTTATATTCGTTTGAATATGTGTGCGCAGGTTTGTAATTTCCCTACAAACCATGCCTAAACAAACTACTTGTCTTGCCTATACATTAGATAAAGAATTTTGTTTTATTTGATCACTTCGGGGTACGCGAACCGGATTTTCAACAACGCTTTATCTGTAGAGTGGGAAAGGGATCCTCCATAGGGAGAGGATAGTTGACACTTCAGCACTGCATTGTCATCGGGTCCAGGCGAAGCTCCTTCGTCAGATCTGGATACAGCCTGGATCCGGCAGGCTGGCTCACAGCCAAAGTGTGTGTACGGTACATAAAGCCACCTTTCAGTACTGAATTGAGCTCTTTTTCGCTGCTTATTGGGCTTAAATAGTCAAATACACACAAAATAATGTCAAAATGCCGGTCCTGGTGAGTATTCACGTAAACACAGTCAGTTATGTTTATGTGTGAACGTAAACCGTTGATATTTCGATTCACAAGCTTGCGATTTGATTTCGCTTCGATGCAATATTGATTATTTTGGATATCAGGTACAATACATGGCAAATTTTCTCAAGGAAAACGAATCTCGTCTCAACTAATGCTGTAAACTATGGGAGTCAGTTGTAGCCTACTAGGCTTCATTAGCCTACTATAATATTGGTAATTACTGATTTGTATACAAACACTTAATAATTACACTTTTATTTATTTTTATAATAATACAGTTATATGAAATATAAACATTAAAATGGTGGCTGTCATATAACCTGCCAGATTTATTCAAACATGCATTAAATAAATATTGAAGAACATTAAAAATTATAATGAATATGAAATTTGGTGCATATATTTAGCAAAATGCTCCTCTTTAGAGTTTATTTTTGTAGCTGACTAACGAGTTTATGGTCACTGGATATGGTTTTTCTGAGGTAAATGTGACGTTGTTTAAAAGCTGTTTTACTGACGTCTTTTCACGGTCGAAACACTGATTGAATCTGTAATTAGAAATCGGAGACTTTGTTTAATATCAATAGTAACAAAGCACAAAGATTATTGCAATTTATTGGATGGGATGAGCGCTACAATTCATTCATCAACTGAAAACAGGATGACTAGCCTAATAAGAATCGATTAAAATCGAGAAATTGATATTTTTTACCCAGCCCTAATAATGGATGAGCAAAATATTTGATTATAACCCTTTCTCTTCTATAAATCTTTATCCCATATTTTTGGGGAAAGACCTTTCAGATAATCCCTATCACTTTCTTCCATAGGGTGTGAAGTTCCTGTGGGACTGTGTGACCGGAAGGCGGATTGAAAACTCGTACGGCTGTATTATGGCGGATGAGATGGGACTGGGAAAGACTCTGCAGTGCATCACTCTCATGTGGACTTTACTTAAACAGAGTCCTGATTTCAAACCTGAGATCGACAAGGTCATCGTAGTGTCCCCTTCAAGCCTCGTGCGAAACTGGTACAATGAAGTGGGCAAATGGCTGGGTGGACGCGTGCAGCCTGTCGCGATCGATGGCGGATCCAAAGAGGAGATAGATCGCAAACTTGGTATTCTTCTTCTCATTCTTTTCTTACAACAGGAGTTATTTATAGGCTTTAAAGGGATACTCCTAGCCTGGGAAAACCCAGACAACTTCCGGCAAATTTAGATTTGCTCTGAAAGTTAGTCTGGCAAAGAGCTCATTCAAGCCCATTTCCAATCCGCCGAAATCGCGGCACCAATCAGAAACGTTGGGGCGGGCTTTACACGATGATGACAGCGCTGGGATTTTGAAGCAGATTTTGTAGCCTACATTACAAAGATGGATGCCGCCGTCGAACATCACTCGTTCCAATCAGCTATCGCGTCTGTTTTAAGCCATTTGAACGTTTCCTTTTAGTTAAAAACCGAGCAAAGAACAACACTCGGAGATGTGTCTCCGCCGCTCTGCATACGTCATCTCCTTCATCGCTCTGATTGGGTTTAGGTCTATCCGCGACGTCCGTTGGTGACGCCCCTCTGGAAATGATTTGTCTATGACGCTTTGCCAGACCATAACTCAGTTACGACTGAGAATGGTCTGGTTCTAACCAGGCTAGGATACTCCACCCAAAAATGAAAATTCTGTCATCATTTACTCACCCTCAAGTTGTTGCAAACCTGTATGAGTTTCTTTCTTCTGCTGAACACAAAGGAAGATATTTTGAAGTACGATTGGACCTTTGTTTTTCTACTATGGAAGTCAATGGTGCCATACAACCGTTTTTGGTTCCAATCGTTCTTCAAAATATCTTCCTTTGTGTTCAGCAGAAGAAATAAACTCATACAGGTTTGCAACAACTTGAGGGTGAGTAAATCTCCTGCCATCAGGTTGCCGCTTTAGAGCTCCTTTGGCCAAAAAGAAAGCGTACAGGAACTCTTTTATTCCTACTGCTATTTCTATTTAAAATAAGACCAAAAAGTGTCATTAGTATATTGGGCTTGAGCCTTTATTGTTTTACATAGTGCAAGGCAGGCCTACTTTTTTCCTTGTAACAATTTTAAATTGTGATGTGTGTGTGTGATTGTATTGTGTATATGTGAGCCTTTTTAACCAAAGACAAATTTCTATCACTGGTTGATAGATAATAAAGTTTTTTGAATTTGAAATGATGACAGAATTTTCATTTTTGGGTGGAGTATCCCTTTAAGACGAGACAATTTCACTTGATATACAAAACTGTTCAAGAAGACTTTCCTGAGAATATATCTTGAATTGTTTTATTATTTTATGCATAAGCCTCACTAAATCGTGTTAAATGTCAACCTAACACAAGAAAAAACTGTTTGCCAGTAAATTAAATTTCCTATGCACATTTATCTTGGGGTTTTTTTGGAAAACGAGACAAAAATACTGATTATTTATTTTTTGTGGCTTGTTTTTTTCTTATAAAGTATGTGTGTTTTAAATGTTTAATTTTAGTAATTTGGCTATTAAAAACCCCACATTGGCTGGTCACTATACTTCATCTTCTGTTTTGAATGACTGTGTTATTCAGCTTCACTACATGTTCATGTCATCTTTCAGAGAACTTCATCTCCCAGCATGGCATAAGAGTGCCAACTCCAATTTTAATAATATCCTATGAAACATTCCGCCTCCACACTGAAGTCCTGCACAAAGGCAAAGTTGGACTGGTTATCTGTGACGAGGTAAGTGTACAATAATAATAATAAAAAAAAGTACATCATAATAAAACAATTTGTTGAAAGCCCAAAAATATTAGGGAATTTAAGGTAAGGTAAGAGAAATGTATAAAAATAATAATAATTAAAGTCATGGATATTCTCAAGTGACTACCATTTAAAAAAAAAATAATACTTTGATTCAGCAAAGATGCTTTAAATTGCTCAAAAGTGAAAGTAAACACATTTATGATGTTACAAAAGGTTTCAAATAAATGCTGTAGAAAAATATTTAAAAAAAAATCATGGTTTGCACAAAAATAAACTCTTTTCAACATTAATAATAATGTTTCTTCAGAACAAAGTCAGCATATTATTAGAATGATTAATATATTAACGTAGACTGCATTTATTTTATTTTGTAATAATATTTAATATTAATACTGTTTTTACTGTATTTTTGTTCAGATAAATGCGGCTTTGATGAGAATAAAAGCCTCTTCACACCAAGAGCGATAAATATAACGATAAAGATATAGTTCTAAAAATCATTGTAAAAGAATAGCAGAGTTTACACCACAACTATAACAATATGGCACATAGAAACAATGTCAATGTCATCACTTTTTGTTCTTACTCCTAATATAAGCTCTGGAACTCGCTCCCTTTAGCTCTGAGAACTATGAGTTCTGTGGAATCTTTTAAAAAACACTCATCTTTTTGGACAAGCTTTTAAAGGTGCATTGCGCAACATTTCATGTTAAAAATACCCGTTTTTCTAACCCATACATGCTTAAACAATTGCCTGATGGGCTGAATGAGCCCTTCTCCGATCACTGCGATTGCCTCTATAATCCTGTACAGTAAAATAAATAAGAGGGATTATTTGCCCAGCGACAGCAGTTGAAAAGTATTGACACATTTCACATAAATGTTCGTCAGTGTATATTGTCCCTGTCAAAATATAAATAAATCAGCACTACATGTAGTTTAGTGATTCGCTATTCGAGTAAAACAGTTCAAGATTCTTGAGTGTGATATAAAATGCTGATAAATAAGTTACATAATTAGACGCAAATTTTGAGCAAATTACTGCCTAATTAGGATGTATTGCTATTGGAATATGCTACTTAGCAGATCAATAAAACAGGCTAAACCCCCGCAAATCTTCGGCGGATTTGCCCATTTGATTGTTTATTACCTTGAGACATTTGAGTGTACTTTGTTGACCAACTGTGTATGGTATGATTATTATTTTGAGCTTTTACAAAGTAATAACTTATGATTGTATTATTATGAACAATATAAGTGGAGACAGTAAACACATAAAACAGTTCAACTTGGAGATAGATGGAAACAAAAACCGAAGTTTTCCCCTCACACATACGTGTAATTTACTCAAATGCCTTTCCTTTCATATATTTAAAATGACTTGCAGATTTATAACTTTATTACCTCTGAAGACATTATGACTGTAAACAAAAGATTTGTGCGGCTGATGCCCCTTTGGTTATGAACAGCTCGTGCGTGTGTGTGTGTGGGGTCCATGAGCGTGCACACCTCTGGTTGCAGTTTCGCTTGGCGCCAGAGGGGGCGTAGTTCTGCAAAAACTCAGAGACTTGCGCAATGCACCTTTAACTAACAATAACAATATATGATTTGTTTGTTATTGAATTTTTATGGACATTTATAGTAGTACAGTTGTGGAGTTGTACTAGGTTTGTAATTTTTTTTTTTTAAATTTGTACTAGTTGTTTTATTTCACTGTTTATTTGTATCACTTAGTGACCCTTCCTTGTCTGTGAAAGGTGCTATACAAATTAACTTTACTTGCTTGCTTACTTTTTCCTGCTGATGAACTATAGAAACCTTGAAATCTTTTTTTGTCGACCCGTGTCGTTTGTTTAGGGTCACAGGCTGAAAAACTCAGACAATCAGACGTACCAGGCGCTGAACTCCATGAACGCTCAGAGGAGAGTGCTGATATCTGGAACGCCCATTCAGAACGACTTACTGGAATATTTCAGTTTGGTGCACTTCGTAAATTCTGGTATCCTTGGTAAGACACACTTGATCATTCCAGTTGTACATGATCCTGTGGAGAACTTTACTCAGTCAATATTTATCGAGTGCGCTTCAGTAATCGTCCGTCTCTCTTCCATGTGTGTGCTTCTTCAATCGTCTCTCCTCTCAGGCACAGCTCAGGAGTTTAAGAAACGATTTGAGATTCCAATCCTAAAGGGTCGTGACGCGGACGCCAGTGATAAAGACAGAGCTGCCGGAGAGGAGAAACTCCAGCAACTCATCAGCATTGTAAACCGGTGAGCATGAGAGAAAACGGCCCGGCCACTCTATCGCACCGTTCAATTCATTTCAATTAAACATTGTGTTTGTTTTGTTAAGGTGTTTGATTCGAAGAACTTCAGATATTCTTTCCAAGTATCTGCCTGTGAAGATTGAACAAGTTGTCTGCTGCAAGTAAGAGATCAGTTGATAGTCATATTCACTACTTTCTGTAATTGCAAGGCTCAAAATAACATGTATAACAATATCAAGTGTTTAATACAGGGGTCAGTAACCCAACGCATGTGTGCCATCATTAGCACTTAAAGGGGTCATATAATGCAATTTTTGTACAAGCTAATATGATTCTTTAGGGTCTAAATTAAAAGTTTGTAATATACTTTAATTAAAAATTCTCATTAGTATTGTAAGAAAACACTTATTTTACCTGGTCAAAAACAGCTCTGATTTCAGCACGCCGTTTCAGTGCATATGCCTTTAAATGATAATGAGCTTTGCTCACTCCGCCTCTCTGTTCTGTGCGTACACCGTTTGTAACACAATAACCATAACGCGTTGTTCAGTATAAACGTGGCATTATGAATTATATTGAGAACGTCGTACATAGAAAACATGCCGTAATGTACCCTGAGTGTAAACCTTAGACTAGGGATGGGAATCGAGAACCGGTTCTTCTTCAGAACCGGTTCCCAGTGAACCAATACCTTGGAACCGTTAGTATGCCTGCTTAACGATTCCGCTTATCGGTTCCGCACGTTGCAAATGTGTCATGACGTCACACACGAGCTGCGTTATTTTGATTCAGAACGCAACAAACATGGCATCGAGGCAGAAGCGCTCGTTTGGTTATATTTCACGCGAAAAGACGACAATATATGAGGTGCCGTCTAGGGCTTAAATCAAACTTCATTCACGCACACATATGAAACACTTGCATAAACGTTTACTAGTCAAACATACATGTATACTGCTGAATGCTCAAACAAATACATATGAAATGCACAACGACACACCTAAAGTCGCTCACGCATACACGCAAACTCTACACACACGAGATACTCGAGACACGCGAAACTCTCCAGGCACATACTCATATGAGACGCGTGTGCGCACACACAAACTCTCCACGCACATACTCGTATGAGACGCGAGCACACACAAACTCAAACTCGCGCACATACTCAGAGTATGACGGCGCCTCATAACAATATGGTCACTTGTTGCAACACCTGTAAAATTTCCATTTCGTCAAAGGGGGGGACCTCCAATATGCAGAAACATTTGGCCACACATCATGAACAGACTTTAGTCCCATGAAACTTAAACTGGAATGTCACTGTTTCTGTCACTCCGACTTCACGAACAGGTGAACACACGCACGCACACATCACTTTTGAAGTAAAATTGAGGATGCAGTGCATGCAATGCATCGAGATATCGAATTGAACTGCATCGATGAAATGATAATCGTAATCGAACCGTGAGACCAGTGTAGGTTCACACCCCTAATACGCTGTGCTGTGTCAGCTAGTTAATAATAATTAACAAACAAAAAAATAGGTAATAAGTTCAATAAGTTAATACGAACAAACAAATTTGTACTTATTCCCTCACCCAATGAGAATCGATAAGAGAATCGATAAGGAATCGAATCGATAAGGAATCGAATCGATAAGCAATATCGATAATGGAATCGGAATCGTTAAATTCTTATCAATTCCCATCCCTACCTTAGATGCATTCATTGTGAAGCGTGCAGCTAGCGATTTGCAAAGATTAATATAAATATTAATATTAAGGTTAATAAAACGTTACACTCACTTCAGTTGTTCTAGAGGTTCAGCAGGAACACGAATATCTGGTACCGATCCTTTATTCAGGAGCAGCTTCTTAGCAAATCCAGCTTTATACTGACCCTCGTTTATAAAGCAGTCTGCTGAGAAATGATTCGCGCAAACATGAGAGCATTGACGTTGCTCGTGGGGAATATTCCCTTCGAAAACAAACTCAGCCACTGCGTCTTCAGCGGTTCGGATTTAGGAACATTAAAATGACTGTGTTCGTTATTACACCCAAGAACAGAACACCACAATCGCTTAGACGCCATTCTGCTCATAGACAGTGCTCCAGCATATCATTGGACCATTTTTCCTGCCGACCAAAATTTCGGTATTTCAAATGTAGGTGCGTGGCAAGCGCGCTCATAATGTAAGAGACGCTGGCGCGACCACAACATTGCCCAACATCAGATGGCAAATGTAATGTAAGTGGAACGAAACCACTCGTTATTGTGTGGTTGACGGACCGTTTATCAGTTTGGACCAATGCCGCGCGAGCCGATCTTCATCATCAGCACTGTTACTACACAGCTAAATCCAGTAAAGAAAACATTTGAGTTCGCCACTGAAGTAATAACATCGCTGCGAGATCTAGTGAGAAACATTCACATTTCTCCGTTATTAACGGATCAAACAGCGCTGACGCGGAAACCAGGAGAAACATTGTGCCGTGAATGACCTATCCAGTGTCCACAGATCAGCAACATTCACCATGGGTTTACTGTAGTAACACTACTAACTGTAACCATGGGAGTGTGGCAGGAATAGTAGGTTATAATGCTTTCAAGTAACATTACGTCGGTTTTATTTTGACATTATGAATACAATTGCTGCCCTCAAATGTTAATCTGAACTAAAAAAAACCTTTGTTTATAACTACTACAATATTACATTTAATTTTGTCCAAGGAGCTGTTTTGTTTTATAAGCTCCTAAGAAAAGTCAAGTATAGCTCCATCATTGCTCAAAGTAAACAAATATCATACTTTATGATGTTAGTTTTAATAAAAATATAATAAAAAAAATGAAATCAAGGAAATTTCTCTGGCATTTATTTATTTTTGCTGTATCGAAAGCGTACGGAACCGCGACACAAGTGTATCGAACCGAACCCTGAATTTTGTGAACCGTTACACCCCTACTTTTAAGGGATTGAAACTTGCCGGCACAGAAAAGTTAGTCATCGTTCAAAAGTATTCTCGTCGCTTGATAAACTTAAGGTTGAGCCACTGTAGTCACTCGGACTATTTTAACGATGTCTTTCATAACTTTTGGGCCGGCCAGTTTCGATCCCTTAAGAAGCCTATGGAGGAGTGATCCATGAAGCTCTCAGATTTAATCAAAAATATCTTCATTTGTTTTCTGAAGATGAACGAAAGTCTTACGGGGTTGAACAACATGAGGGAGAGTCATTACTGACAGTTTTCATTTTGGGGTGAACTATCCCTTTACACAGTAAGTGTAACTTTATTTTGCCTTGAAGGAAGCATTAAAGAATAAGTGTTTTTTTCAGTCTTACTCCTCTCCAGAAAGAGCTGTACAAGTTATTCCTGAAGCAGTCCAAACCTGTAGAGAGTCTGCAGACCGGCAAGATCACGGTGTCTTCCCTGTCCTCCATCACCTCGCTTAAGAAGCTCTGCAACCGTGAGTGTGGACCTCTTTACCTTTGACATAATCGCCCTTTTTTATTTTCTGACAAAGTTATTGTTACATTAAAACTGCAAAATATGTTTTTGTTCTCTCTGTTAGATCCTGCCTTGATTTATGAGAAGTGTCTGGCAGGAGAAGAGGGTTTTGATGGAGCATTGGACCTCTTCCCACAAAAGTATTCAACTAAAGCAGTAGAACCACAGCTCTCAGGTCAGTTCTGACTTACACTGCTGTTCAAAAGTTGTTGTAAAAAAGAAAAAAAAAAATTATACTTAGAACAGCATTTATTTGAAACTTTTTTTGTAACATTCTTTTAAACTTTGTTCAGAATCCTGAAAAAAGTTTCTACAAAAAGCTGAAGCAGCTCAACTGTTTACTATGGAAGCTTGTTTCCGCCACTGAATAAGAAAAAAAATTGTGACTTTTTTTCTCACAATTGCGAGTTTACATCTCGCAATTCTGACTTTATAACACATAATTGCGACATCTTTTCTCAGAATTGTGAGATTAAAACTCGCAATTGCGAGTTATCAGGCCAATTCTAAGGGGGAAAAAAGACTAACTTTTTTCCCCTCAGACTAGTTTATATCTCACAATTCTGACTTTATAACACGCAATTTCGACTTTATATCTGGCAATTCTGACTTTATAACACGCAATTTCGACTTTATATCACGCAATTCTGACTTTATAACACGCAGTTGCGACTTTATATCACGCAATTCTGACTTTACAACACGCAATTGCGGCTTTATATCACGCAATTCTGACTTTATAACACGCAATTGCGACTTTATATCAATCAATTCTGACTTTACAACACGCAATTTCGACTTTATATCAATCAATTCTGACTTTATAACACGCAATTGCGACTTTATATCAATCAATTCTGACTTTACAACACGCAATTGCGGCTTTATATCACGCAATTCTGACTTTACAACACGCAATTTCGACTTTATATCACGCAATTCTGACTTTATAACATGCAATTGCGACTTTATATCAATCAATTCTGACTTTACAACACGCAATTTCGACTTTATATCAATCAATTCTGACTTTACAACACGCAATTTCGACTTTATATCACGCAATTCTGACTTTACAACACGCAATTTCGACTTTATATCACGCAATTCTGACTTTACAACACGCAATTTCGACTTTATATCAATCAATTCTGACTTTACAACACGCAATTGCGACTTTATATCAATCAATTCTGACTTTATAACACGCAATTGCGACTTTATATCAATCAATTCTGACTTTATATCACGCAATTCTGACTTTATAACACGCAATTTCGACTTTACAACACGCAATTCTGACTTTATAACACGCAGTTGCGACTTTATATCACGCAATTCTGACTTTACAACACGCAATTGCGGCTTTATATCACGCAATTCTGACTTTATAACACGCAATTTCGACTTTATATCAATCAATTCTGACTTTACAACACGCAATTTCGACTTTATATCAATCAATTCTGACTTTATAACACGCAATTGCGACTTTATATCAATCAATTCTGACTTTACAACACGCAATTGCGGCTTTATATCACGCAATTCTGACTTTACAACACGCAATTTCGACTTTATATCACGCAATTCTGACTTTACAACACGCAATTTCGACTTTATATCAATCAATTCTGACTTTATAACATGCAATTGCGACTTTATATCAATCAATTCTGACTTTACAACACGCAATTTCGACTTTATATCACGCAATTCTGACTTTACAACACACAATTTCGACTTTATATCACGCAATTCTGACTTTACAACACGCAATTTCGACTTTATATCAATCAATTCTGACTTTACAACACGCAATTGCGACTTTATATCAATCAATTCTGACTTTATAACACGCAATTGCGACTTTATATCAATCAATTCTGACTTTATATCTGGCAATTTTGACTTTATAACACGCAATTGCGACTTTATATCAATCAATTCTGGCTTTACAACACGCAATTGCGACTATCACGCAATTCTGACTTTATAACACGCAATTGCGACTATATCAATCAATTCTGACTTTATATCTCGCAATTTCGACTTTATATCAATCAATTCTGACTTTACAACACGCAATTTCGACTTTATATCACGCAATTCTGACTTTACAACACGCAATTTCGACTTTATATCACGCAATTCTGACTTTACAACACGCAATTTCGACTTTATATCAATCAATTCTGACTTTATAACACGCAATTGCGACTTTATATCAATCAATTCTGACTTTACAACACGCAATTTCGACTTTATATCACGCAATTCTGACTTTACAACACGCAATTTCGACTTTATATCACGCAATTCTGACTTTACAACACGCAATTTCGACTTTATATCAATCAATTCTGACTTTATAACACGCAATTGCGACTTTATATCAATCAATTCTGACTTTACAACACGCAATTGCGACTTTATATCAATCAATTCTGACTTTACAACACGCAATTGCGACTTTATATCAATCAATTCTGACTTTATATCTGGCAATTTTGACTTTATAACACGCAATTGCGACTTTATATCAATCAATTCTGACTTTATATCTCGCAATTCTGACTTTATATCAATCAATTCTTACTTTACAACACGCAATTTCGACTTTATATCAATCAATTCTGACTTTACAACACGCAATTTCGACTTTATATCACGCAATTCTGACTTTATAACACGCAATTCTGACTTTATAACACGCAATTGCGACTTTATATCAATCAATTCTGACTTTACAACACGCAATTTCGACTTTATATCAATCAATTCTGACTTTACAACACGCAATTTCGACTTTATATCAATCAATTCTGACTTTACAACACGCAATTTCGACTTTATATATCACGCAATTCTGACTTTATAACACGCAATTCTGACTTTATAACACGCAATTGCGACTTTATATCAATCAATTCTGACTTTATAACACGCAATTGCGACTTTATATCAATCAATTCTGACTTTACAACACGCAATTTCGACTTTATATATCACGCAATTCTGACTTTATAACACGCAATTGCGACTTTATATCAATCAATTCTGACTTTACAACACGCAATTCTGATTTTATAACAAGCAATTGCGACTTTATATCAATCAATTCTTACTTTATATCTGGCAATTCTGACTTTATAACACGCAATTTCGACTTTATATCAATCAATTCTGACTTTATATCTGGCAATTCTGACTTTATAACACGCAATTGCGACTTTATATCAATCAATTCTGACTTTACAACACGCAATTGCGATTTTATATCAATCAATTCTGACTTTATAACACGCAATTGCGACTTTATATCAATCAATTCTGACTTTACAACACGCAATTCTGATTTTATAACACGCAATTTCGACTTTATATCAATCAATTCTGACTTTATATCTGGCAATTCTGACTTTATAGCACGCAATTGCGACTTTATATCAATCAATTCTGACTTTATAACACGCAATTGCGACTTTATATCAATCAATTCTGACTTTACAACACGCAATTTCGACTTTATATCAATCAATTCTGACTTTATAACACGCAATTGCGACTTTATATCAATCAATTCTGACTTTACAACACGCAATTGCATATCAATCAATTCTGACTTTACAACACGCAATTCTGACTTTATAACACGCAATTGCGACTTTATATCAATCAATTCTGACTTTATATCTCGCAATTGCGACTTTATATCAATCAATTCTGACTTTATATCACGCAATTCTGACTTTATAACACGCAATTTCGACTTTATATCACGCAATTCTGACTTTATAACCTGCAATTGCGACTTTATATCAATCAATTCTGACTTTACAACACGCAATTCTGATTTTATAACACGCAATTGTGAGAAAAAAAAGTCAGAATTGTGAGATAAAAAGTCGCAATTACCTTTTTTATTTTTCATTCTGTGGCGGAAACAAGCTTCCATAGTTTACAACATTGATAATAATCAGAAATGTTTCTGAAGTAAAACATATTAGAGTGATTTCTGAAGGATCATGTGACACTGAAGACTGGAGTAATGATGCTGAAAATTCAATTTGATCAGGAATAAATTACGTTTTAAAATATACACTTTACAATTAGGGTTATTACTTAATTAACTACATTAGTCAGCATGAACTAATGATGCTGAAAATTCAATTTGATCAGGAATAAATTACGTTTTAAAATATACACTTTACAATTAGGGTTATTACTTAATTAACTACATTAGTCAGCATGAACAAATAATGAACGAGTATCGTATACAGCATTTATTAATCTTTGTTAATGTTCATTTTTAACATTTTCTAATGCTTTATTAAAATCTTGTTAACATTAGTTAACGCACTGTGAACTAACATGAACAGCTGTATTTTTATTAACTAACATTAACAAAGATTAACAAATACAGTAATAAATGTATTGCTCGTTGTTAGTTAATACATTAATGTTACCAATGAACCTTATGTAAAGTGTTACCATATATTCGAATAGAATTTCAGTTTTTATTGTTTTTGATCAAATGAATGCAACCTTGTTAAAACATGAGACTTCAAAAAAGTCTTACTGACCATAAACTTTGGTAATATTTAACGAGTGTCAGAAATAAATGTTTTAAATACGTTGACAATATTTGTGCTCAGCAACTAACATTTGTGGCCTTTTTTTTTTTTAAACCTTCATAACTGCATTTTTCTGAACCATGTAAAATCAAATCCCTTTCATTTGTAACATCAATTTAATCTGAACCCATATAATTAAATCAATCAACATCAAATAAAACCTAAAAACATGGTTCAAGCCTTGCTAGGGTACATTTTAAATTGGCCAAAACCCATACTGTGTGGCATTTAAGCGCTGATTTATTAATGTCTGACCGTGATCTATGACTGCCTTGTTTACAGGGAAGATGCTGGTACTGGATTATATCCTGGCGATGACCAGAACAACAACAAGTGATAAAGTGGTTCTGGTCTCTAACTACACACAGACTTTGGACCTTTTTGAAAAGCTGTGTCGAACCCGAAGGTGAGGATTTCAGATAATATAAATCCAGCTTCAGTGTAGAGCGCCAGCGGCCTTGATCTGGAAGTATTCTCCCCGTCTGCCTCCCTATAGATGTACACAACATCATCTACAATTTTTAGCCATGAACCAAAATATTACCATTCAGCCTTATTATGGTTTAAGAATATATTTTTCTTCATGAATAGATACCTTTACGTTAGACTGGACGGGACAATGTCCATCAAGAAGAGAGCAAAGGTTGTGGAGAGATTCAACACCCCCTCTGTAAGTCTGTTTCCATTTCATACTCTGTGTTCAATTTGTCATTTCAAGTCTTATTAGTGTTATTTTAGTTCTATTTATACTATTATAGTAAAAAAAATATATATATATATATATATATATTAGGGCTGTCAGTTAAACGTGTTATTAACGGCGTTAACGCAAACCCATTTTAACGGCGTTAATTTTTTTATCGCGCGATTAACGGTCTTTTTGAACTAGCAAACTTTAGTTTTTTTCACATGCTTTTGCAACAGGACGTGGCGCTGCTCTATAAAACCCATTCATTTCAATGGCTTGCGCCGCGCGAGGAAGTTTTAGCCGGCTAAATAGTAGGTTAACGTTACGTTTTGAGTGAATGACGAGCGTGAGACGCCGAAATGGACGCCAATAAGATTCTGAATGGAAAGTTTACTTTTAAAAAGTTGCCAAATGGTCCCATTGACAAGACCAAAGTGATCTGTGTGTTTTGTCGTTGTGAACTGAGCTATCATCATCGCAGCACGTCCAGTCTGAAATACCACTTGATGGCCAAGCACACACACGCACACACACACACACACACACACACACACAGCTGATGCGAATTTTCCGCCCCTCGTCAATATCAGGACCTCGTCAGTATTTATTTCACCCTTTTATTGATGGACAGTGTTACATTGTGTGAGAGATTATTTGCTCCAAGTGAAAATGTTTTAGTGTGAAATTGAACAGTATATGTCAATGTTGTTTTCAATAAAAAACTTTTGCACAAAGCAAGCCGATCCACTTTTCCATGTTGAAAAGAGCATTAAAATGAGAAAAAAGAATGGGACAAAAAGAAATCAAGAGACATTTAGAATAGATACAAATGTGCGATTAATTGTGATTAATCGCGAGTTAACTATGACATTAATGCGATTAATCGCGATTAAATATTTGAATCGTTTGACAGCAATATATATATATATATATATAATTATGACCTCTTCTTATATATGTATATGTATTCAGTTCTCTTTTTTTATCACTATTTAGGTTTATTTTTATTTCAGCTTCACTTTTAGAATTTAGGCAAATTTTTATTTTAAGTTAGAAATTTTAGTGCTTTAACTTAAAATAGAAATGTTGCCTTGTGTGCTAGCTGAAATAAGTTTGCTTTTCATCTAATATTTATAGTTTATTTTATTTCAGCTTTAACACTTTCAGATTCCTCTCTTCCAGAATCCAGAGTTCATCTTCATGCTGAGTAGCAAGGCTGGCGGCTGTGGGCTGAATCTGATTGGTGCAAATCGCCTGGTGATGTTCGACCCTGACTGGAATCCAGCCAATGACGAGCAGGCGATGGCCAGAGTGTGGCGAGATGGACAGAAGAAGACCTGCTTCATCTACAGACTGCTGTCGGTGAGTTGACAGAGATGTTTTCACAATTAAATGGATAAAAATATGTCTCTAGTACAAGATGCTCATCTTTAAAAGTGGATCATTAGCCAGCTTGTTTCTTTTCCCCTCTCTGTTAGACTGGAACGATAGAGGAGAAGATCTTACAGAGACAGGCTCATAAGAAAGCTTTGAGTAGTTGTGTAGTGGATGAGGAACAAGATGTGGAAAGACATTTCTCTCTTGGAGAGCTGCGAGAACTCTTCTCACTCAACGAGAAGACAGTCAGCGACACGCATGACAGGTAAAACACTACATTACTGCCGTTCTCACCTTTGTAAAAGTGTGGATTTAGCACCTACTAGCATAAAGATCAAATATAGACAGACTGTGCGAGTTCTTGATTTTAATGGTGTTCATAAATGATATACAAGCAAGAATGCAAATTTTCTTAAATATTTGCATGAATGTTAATGTGGAATTGGTTTTACCATAATTTTATATCTCTATTGAACTTTTTTTTATTTATTTTTTACATTATTTATAAAGGTAATGCACTGATATAAAAAAAATGCACTGGAAAAGTGGGCAACTATTGTCCCTTAAAGAAAAAGGGTGGTAAATGCCTCAGGAGGTGTTACTCATGACACTTAGCAACACAGCTGAAAGTATTCCTAATGTATTGGTGAAATTAGGCTACTCTTAAAAAGTTTGGGAACCACTGCCATACAGCATCATCACGCACCGGCACAGATATGCTGGATGAGTGGGATAATGGCTTTCACTCTCGATGAGTCTGAAGGCCTGTTCACACTGGGACGAATTTCGCACGCAATATTCGCCGACGTTTAACGCCTCATGACTAGACAAAGGGCGCCAATGTGAGTGTGCACGCCACGCGCAAAAGCGTCATTTTTTTTTAAAAACGCCTCGGGTTCGTTTGTTTTTGTTTGACGCGCCGCGTCAAAAACTATCCGACCAATGTAGGGATGCAAATTATCGATTATTTCATTAATCATTAATTGATTGACCTTATCGATCGATTAACGATTAACTGATAAGCGGCTATTTTCCTGAGAATGTACATTTCTCATGGTATCAATAGTGTCTTTAACATAAAGAGCAAAATATTGCATGTTATATTGCTCAAATGATGTTTTATTGTAACAGTTGGGATACGGTACAGAATGGCATTTATGTAGTTTAACAAAAATAAATTATGCACAGAAAATTAAAATGCATAGAAAATAATTGTGCACTGGCTCACCTGTTGCAAACATTAAGAAACATAAAATAAAAGTTAAATCAGAATCTATATGGGTAGGTTTAGCCTAAACTATATTAAGTCTACATATAATAATCTATCTGGTAAACTACTTGTATGAAAAACTTGAAACATTAGCAGCAGCACTTATAATCCCCCTTGGTCTGAGAAAGGTAACAGTAAGATTATAGACCTGGAAACTTCAATTACAGAACTGAGGGTATGTCAATTTTCACAAATTCCCATGATCGATCGTCATTTAAATTAACAATCAATTATGCGTCTGCTGCTGTGGCATATGGCCAAACGCTATCTTCCTCACCAAATTAATGAGAACAGTATTTAATCTTAATAAAGGGCTAGTAGGATTGTAAAATGTTTCGATGTGATTGATAATTAAATTAAATTTAACGACTAATACAACGTGTCCCCAAAGCTGCCTCAGATGCGTGCTTGTCAGAATGTGTTGTGGACGTGCACTGAAAACGGCAACTAAACCCAATGAATTCACAACGATTTAATAAATGAGTGTTCTGATGTTATCTAATATGACAGTGCCAAATTAATCATCGTTATTATTAGTCGTGCATTGCTGCGTGAGCGGCGCGCGCTGAATGAATAACCGTTGAGCACTTTGCTAGCTCGTTCGCAACCTATATGAGATTAGTCAGATATATACAAAATAAACATGATATTACAAAATATATCTTCACAAAATGCAGTGAATGCACAAGTGAACTTGAACTTACGTGCCATTCAGAATGACTCATGTTGTGAACAACGCGACACAGCAACTAAACCCAAATAATTCACAATATTGTTCTCTTTATAATGTCATATGACAGTTCCAATAGTCATTATTAGTCGTGCATTGCCGTTTGAGCAGCGCGCGCTGAAGATCACGCTTCAATTCTTAACCAGATGCATCCAATATGAGAAATCAGATATAGAAAGTAGGGATGCACCGAATCCAGATTTGTGGGGTTCGGCCGAATACCGAATCCACTGGTTAAGATTCTGCCGAATCCGAATACCGAATACCGAATCCTACTCTCATCCTCAGTCCATTAACACAGTAAACACATTAATGAAGTAAACAAAGTGGATATTTCATTTTATTTTATTACTGTAAATAATAAACACTACTTTTACTTTTATAACTGTAAAAAAGAAGAAAAAAAAGAATAAGCAACATTATGCATTTTAACAGCGGCGATGTTGTGTAGCCTATTGTTTAGAGTCCTTGCCACCATGAGACAAATCGGCATTGCAAATTGAACATGTAGCTCGACTTGAATTGCCTTCTTTCACTGAAGGTACTGCTAAACAACACTTTTTCTGCTCAAAAGTTACATTTTCACTTTCTCACAGCCTACTGCATTCGAACGGTCCACCTACTGTAACGAGTGGAAATAAGGTGTGGCCCCTTTAAGAGCTGCGCGCTCCCTGTTAAAACTGTCTGCACTGCAGTCCGTATTGCATGTGCCGTGCGCCTCGAACACATGCCCATGTATGCAGTTTATTTCAGTTTGATGCTCATTTTTACCTTATTTTCTTAAGTAACGCTGTGGACGGTAGAAGGTGTGACAGACAGTTACACAAGTTCGATTTGGGAATAAAGTGCAAGTTGTAAGATGCCAATCGCCTCCGTGAGTCTGTCTGGCCTCTGCAATAACTTTAGCTGTGAGCTATCCCTATTTTTCTTCCTGACACAACGCGTTACACTACAGGCTTGTTCGACTTGAACCGGCGCTGCACAGACAGATGAGTTTATGACATCAAAGTACCGCGACTCCGCGAGAGCAATTCAAAAGCTTAAGGAGCCGTCTGCTCTCTATTCGTTCACGCGGTACTTTGATGTCATTCACTGATCGGTGACTTCGACGTAGCGCGTGTAGTGCAAGCCTAGGGTTCGGTTCGGTGGAAAAAATTGATGAGGTTCGGCAGAAACCGAACCCCGTTAAAAAGCCCAATATTCGGCCGAATCCGAATCCTGGATTCGGTGCATCCCTACTAGAAAGACGCACACATAATAAACTATTACAACTTACATTTCCACAAAACAAAAGGCTGCAAATACACACGCAAACTTAGTCACGATGAAGGTGTAAAATAGTCCCAAACATAACTCCAGCGCGCTCGCTTACATGTTTCGCGGTTGAGCAGCACACACGCGCATAAATCTGCTTAATCGATGAGTTTGATCGATTAATATATTATCGACAATTAATCGATCGTCGATTAATCGTTAACATCCCTAGACCAATGAGATTGGCGGTTTTGCTCACGTGTCTGGAGCTTCTGAAGTTACAGTAAAACACAACTTGGGGGCGCTCAAACACAACACGGTCTTGCCGAGCACACATACGTAATGGCGAAGAAGTAGCGAGGAAGATGCGAGGCAAGATGAATGTAGAGCTGCTGGTCTCGTTGGTGTCGGAACATAAAGAAGTATATGACAAACACGACAGCGACTACACAAATCTTGATAAAAGAGAACTGTTATGGAGTGGTATTGCAGAGCAAATGGGCGCCATCTAATGTCAGGGAATGAATAAGTGTTCACTCGGCTCATCGTCAGCCAAAATCGCTTGGGTGTGAACACTGGCGAATGATGCGCGCCGATATTCGTCCCGGTGTGTACGAGCCTTTAGTCAATTGCTTACTCATCATGACACAGAGCAACACAGCTGAAAGTATTGCTAATGTATTGGACCTTTTATTGAAATTAGCCTACTTTTACCTGTTAAAGGAACACTCCGACTTTTTGGGACTTTAGCCTATTCACTCTATCCCCCAGAGTTAGATAAGTCCATACACACCTTTTTCATCTCCGTGCGTGCTATAAGTCTGTTTGACGCACCCAGCGCTAGCCTAGCTTAGCACAAAGACTGGATGTAAATGGTTGCAGCTAGCATACCAATCCAAATAAGTGACAAAATAACGCAAACATTTTCCTACCGCAGCACCTGAGACGCGCCGTGGTGAGGAGCAGAGAGCGAGTCTCAGGTGCTGCGGTTATCACTCCGCCCAAGTAGCAGTGCTTCGCCTTCTGAGAATATAGTTCCCAGTATTTATACGGTTAAAATATGTCTGTGTCTCATGTGACTTTGTTTTTTGTACACTCTGTGATTATACAAATCACAACATGTAAATAGGAAAATGTTTGCGTTATTTTGTCACTTATTTGGATTGGTATGCTAGCTGCAACCATTTACATCCAGTCTTTGTGCTAAGCTAGGCTAGCGGTGGGTGCGTCAAACAGACTTATAGCACGCATGGAGATGAAAAAGGTATGTATGGACTTATCTAACTCTAGGGGATACGGTGAATAGGCTAAAGTCCCAAAAAGTCGGAGTGTTCCTTTAAGTTTTTTCAATATGTTGCCCCTAGGGTTGCAGAAACTGCATACTTTAACACCTAATGCTGCATTGTTTTTTGACTAAATTCATTCATGGATGAGGGCATTTGTGTTTAATCCCTCTCTGTGTGTGTGTGTGTGTCAGGTTTCGCTGTAGGCGCTGTGTAAACAATCGTCAGGTGCGTCCTCCTCCAGATGATTCGGACTGCACCAGCGATCTGTCCAACTGGCAGCACTGTTCAGATAAAAGAGGCCTGAGGGACCCGGTGCTGCAGGCGTCCTGGGACGCTGCCGTCTCCTTCGTCTTTCACCAGCGCTCGCATGAGGACCAGAGAGGAGTCGTCTGAGCATCAGCAATAAACACATCACATCAGATCATACAGGCTGAACACTGTGCAGCTGATCTGGGAACTGTAGGAGAGCAGCCGAAAGCACACTGTAATTAAATTCTCTTCCTTGTACTTTCATTTTATTTATTCTGTGCATGTATAGACAAATTCAATGTTTGTCCCTATCAGCGTCATTAAACGTGAACTATATCCAAGGTTTATGCTGGTCGTTTCTTAGTCACATCTGCATGAGTTTGTTCCCCACACTGTCTTTCACAAGGCAGCTAAAGAGTTTGTCACATCACACTGATGTGATCCGCCATGGTGGACCTGGAGTCCCAGTCGTCCGTTAACATGTTACAGTACGGGATGAGCTTTCGCAGAGCTTGACCTTTGACCTCAGGGTCACGATCCAGTGGGTTAAAGCGCAGGTCTAGGGTCAGTCGCTGAACTGGTCTGCATGTTTCCAGCAGCTGTGCAAACTCCAGAAGTTCAGCAGGAAGAATGAAGTTTGAGCTGTATGGAAGAACACATTGTGTTTATTGTGGAAGCAAACATGTATGGAAGATGCATGCAACAAAACCTAAGTATTACCTAAGGTCTAATGTTGTGATTTTGCTGGGACGGCATCCTGAAAATAAGTTGGCTATCTCGATGACACCTGATGCTGGAAAAAGAAAAAACAAGTTAGGTCATATTTCCCCCCGCCCCCCATTATTTCACAGAACACAAAATTGTTAATAACTTCTCTAAGACAATCGACATATTTTAGTCTGTTGCTCACACAAATCTGCATATTAGAATGATCCTTCAGAAATCATTCTGATTTGCTGTTTAAAGGTGCATTGCGCAAGTCTCTGAGTTTTTGCAGAACTACGCCCCCTCTGGCGACAAGCGAAACTGCAACCAGAGGTGTGCACGCTCATGGACCCCCCACACACACACACACGAGCTGTTCATAACCAAAGGGGCATCAGCCGCACAAATCTTTTGTTTACAGTCATAATGTCTTCAGAGGTAATAAAGTTATAAATCTGCAAGTCATTTTAAATATATGAAAGGAAAGGCATTTGAGTAAATCACACGTATGTGTGAGGGGAAAACTTCGGTTTTTGTTTCCATCTATCTACAAGTTGAACTGTTTTATGTGTTTAGTGTATCCACTTATGATTGTATTATTATGGAAACACGTGCATGAACCGCTTTATCAAGAAAATAGCCAACGTTTGAGCCCTAGAGCAGACCGGAGATCTCTCCATTTGTTGAAAGCCTTCCCGATGTTAACTCTCGTCTTATTCCGACGCCTCCAATTTGGCCCTTTCGGTGGCACTAGACAAAAGTTTTCTTTTCTTTGTCTTGCGTGGAGTTTGCGTTGGGGTTTATGAACTACAAGGCGGTCTCTTTGAATCCATCTTCTACTTTTGTCGAAAGTTGACTAAAGTTTTGTCGCTCGAGTTGTCTTCGCTGATACGGAGAATGGCGGCAAATACACAAACCTGCCAGACATAGCCGCGTGAACGCGCATGACGTCACGCCCAGTGTCAAATCCCTTCCCGAATCCCTCTTATTTATTTTACTGTACAGGATTATAGAGGCAATCTCAGTGCGCAGAGAAGGGCTCATTCAGCCCATCAGGCAATTGTTTAAGCATGTACGGGTTAGAAAAACTGGTATTTTTAACATGAAATGTAAACCTTTAAGAAACATTTCCCATTATTAGCAACGTTGTGCGGCTTCAGATTTTTGTGGAAACTGATACATTTTTCCAGGATTCTTTGATTAATAGAATCTTTTGTAACATTCCAAATCTCTTAACTGTCACTTTTGATCAATTTAACGCATCCTTGCTGAATAAAAGTGTTGATTAAAAATAATAGCAACACTGTACGGAGCGAGTTGGGTCTTACCGAGTCGGTTCTGGGCCAGCATCAGGCTCTGGAGGGACGAGACCCCTCTCAGCGCTTCTACAAACGGCAGCAGGAAGTCCTTCTTTACGGTACACTTGTCCAGCAGCCGACAGTCTTTCAAGGACAGCTCTGAGATTCAACCAACAGTGCAAACATTAGGCATTCATTTCAAGCCTTTTTTTATGAATGCAAGAAGTGCTGCACGGGGTGTAACTTCAGTGTCTCAGTGTCTTTGGGTGTAGGGATGGTTCCGCTCATAAGAAAAAACAATCCAAGGCACTCGAGCAATTAGTTTTTAGAAAAATATAAAAAGCCTTTATTCTTTCATGGCTTAGATTTGAACGGCACACGGTGTTGTTGGTCACCTGTTTTTAAAATCTAAGCCATGAAAGAATAAAGGCTTTTTATATTTTTCTATAAAACGAATTACTTGAGTGCCTCGGATTGTTTTTTCTTATGAGCTTTTTTATGCATTATGCTGTACCTTCTAACACAGAATATTCCAGGAAATGGAGGATCTCCTGGTGATAGTCAGCTAGGTTTACGTCTTCCAGGTTTAATACTTTGAGTAAAGGATTCGATTCTATGAGGAGAAAAAGGAGACATGTATCATGTTAGCATATGAATCAGCTTTGTTTGTACAAAACTAAATTAGTTTGTAGCTTAAAGGTATTGTAGGTAGGAATTTTATAAAAAAAAACATTTTTTCAAATTTGTTTAAACTTTCTGTTTATATCAATGCATAATTAAAATGTAAGTACTCTGAAAAAGAAAGTATAAAAATCGATTGTCTGTAGACCTCTCACGACTGTTTTAAAGACAGCTCATTATTTCCATTCACTCCACCCCCTCCCTTCTGGGCTCCTTCCAAAGCCACGCCCCCAAAACACATGAACGCGCGACTCCGACCGCTGAGCTGAAGACGCATTATTTACCTGAGACGAGCGGAGAGGAAGGAGCGCAGTGCATCCATGTAGTGACATCATGTCAGAATCACATGTAATAAAAAAAATCTAACTTTATCATTATGAAGATAAACAAATAAGATGTATTTTAGTACTCACTATCAATATTGGTAAAGTTTAAAATATATATTTATTGATTCGCTAACGAGCTAGTTATCTATAAGGCAAAGCTAAAAACAGGTTGCATGATACACGTTTTTCCATTGCCATCATTTACACTGTGATGAAGATGAATTTCGTGTAACATTCATAACATGGTGTTCTGCATGTAAGAGTTTCCATGATGAAAGCATTGTTGACTCTGATGAGGACTATACACTCCAGAGACAAGCATCGTCAGCTCGAGGACAGATCCGGGGTCGAGGGCGAAGCAGAGGAGGTCGTCACAAGGCGTCACTTTTCAGCCCCTTGAGGTCTCTCAGTTCTCGCCATCGCTGGAAAGCCACGCCGATATTGACACGCGTTTTATTTCGTTGTTTATCCAAAGACTTTTTGTTCATTACCTTTTCTAGTAACGTTACTGTCTTTTGATTGGTCTTTCTCTGCCATTGTTTTTCTATTCCTAGGTTTCGTGCCTCTTGAATTCCTCAAATCAAACGGGTACGCGCAAGTGGGCAGGTCCTGTGTGGCAAAAGGGTGGTTGCCATGGTTGCGAGAGAGTGACAGTCGCCTAAGCCAATCCTTTGTTTCGTCCCGGATGGAAATAATGAGCTGTGTTTAGTGCAGATTAAACGGTCTAGAGTCACTCGATTTTTATACTCTTTTTTTATCAGAGTCCTTACATTTTAATTATGCATTGATATATACAGAAAGTTTAAACAAATTTGGGAAAAAGTTTTTTTATGAAATTCCTACCTACAATACCTTTAATAGCATTTAGTCGGGAAAAACATTTTGTAATCAAACACTGAAACGATTCATTTTCAAACATTACAAGTGTAAGGCAAGTATTTCTACATTATTAAAGGGATAGTTCACTTTGAAATTAATTTTTGATATGTTTTAGCTTACCTCAAGGGCATCCAAGATGTAGGTGTCTTTGTTTCCGCAGTAGTTTCAATTTTGATATTTTTAGGTCAAACCGTTCTTGTCTGTCAGTCATATAATGCAGGTCTATGGTCACCACCTCAAAGAGCATGCACAGAGAAGTCCAAATTAAACATGATTTAATGACTCGTAAATGTAAGTACACAAGAGATCACTTCCAGCGCTTGCACAGACCGAAGCGCCCGCGCCCTCAGATCACTTGGACGTGGCTGTGGTTACAAGAGGTAAAAACGATATAAATACTGTTGGTTTTCTCACACAAACCGCTCGTTTCGTGTCTTAGGCCATCAATGTGTACTTACATTTACGAGTCATTAAATCATGTTTAATTTGGACTTCTCTGGTCATGCTCTTTGAGGTGGTGACCATAGACCTGCATTATATGACTGACAGACAAGAACGGTTTGACCTGAAAATATCAAAATCGAAACTACTGCGGAAACAAAGACACCTACATCTTGGATGCCCTTGAGGTAAGCTAAAACATACCAAAAATTAATTTTAAAGTGAACTATCCCTTTAAACTGCTATGACATTTTCACCATTACCTCAGAAATACATTTGTTTGGCCTCTGATTTTGTGAAAAAGAAGTACGCTTTTAAGCAACTATTAAGTACGCGCTTAAAAAATGCACTTTGTAATAATGTCAAATAAGGTTTTACGTTAAAGTACATTTTAAATCATGTTTAAAATTATTTGTCGTGCTTAAAAGAAGTACACTTATTTTAATATGTTTACAAACATAGTAAAGTACTTAAAGATTGTAATTTTAACTGTAGTGTTATTAGATATATGACATACAAGACTACATGGTTAACATGAACTAACAGTGAAAATACTTCTAAACAAGTCAGATTCATCTTAGTTCATGTTCATTTCGACATTTACAACAACAACAAAATATTAAAATCAAAAGTAGTTTCTGTTAATATTATTTATGAACCCGAGCTGACATGAACTAACAATGAACGGTTTTGATTTTTATTAACTAACATTACTGCAACAAATGTATTGCTCATTGTTAGTAAATGTTAATGCATTATCTAATGTTAACTAACAGGACCTGTTACCATTTAAACTAATACATTTTCATTTAATTGCAATTAACATGCATCAAAAACATTGCATTCAGTTCACAATTAAGCATATTCTCTTAACATTATTTCTGTAGTATTTTAGAGTTATGCATGTTAAAGGGTTAGTTCACCCAAAAATGAAAATGATGTCATTAATGACTCTCCCTCGTGTCGCTCCAAGCCCGTCAGACCTCCGTTCATCTTCAGGACACAGTTTAAGATATTTTAGATTTAGTCCGAGAGCTTTCTGTCCCTCCATTGTAAATGTGTGTACGGTATACTGTCCTTGTCCAGAAAGGAAATAAAGACATCATCAAAGTAGTCCATGTGACATCAGTGGGTTAGTTAGAGTGTGTTGAAGCATCGAAAATACATTTTGCTCCAAAAATAACAAAAACTAGGACTTTATTCAGCATTGTATTGTCTTCCGGTTCTGTTGTGGATCCGCGTTCAGTGCCGCCGCTGACGTAAGACGCTGCTGACGTGTGTCTGGTGTGTGTGTGTGTGTGTGTTCTGGTTCTGTTGTGGATCCGCGTTCAGTGCCGCCGCTGACGTAAGACGCTGCTGACGTGTGTCTGGTGTGTGTGTGTGTGTGTTCTGGTTCTGTTGTGGATCCGCGTTCAGTGCCGCCGCTGAAGTAAGACGCTGCTGACGTGTGTCTGGTGGGTGTGTGTGTGTGTGTGTATTCTGGTTCTGTTGTGGATCCGCGTTCAGTGCCGCCGCTGACGTAAGACGCTGCTGACGTGTGTCTGGTGTGTGTGTGTGTGTATTCTGGTTCTGTTGTCGATCCGCGTTCAGTGACGCTGCTGACGTGTGTCTGGTGTGTGTGTGTGTGTGTGTGTGTGTGTGTGTTCTGGTTCTGTTGTGGATCCGCGTTCAGTGCCGCCGCTGAAGTAAGACGCTGCTGACGTGTGTCTGGTGGGTGTGTGTGTGTGTGTGTGTATTCTGGTTCTGTTGTGGATCCGCGTTCAGTGCCGCCGCTGACGTAAGACGCTGCTGACGTGTGTGTGTGTGTGTGTGTGTTCTGGTTCTGTTGTGGATCCGCGTTCAGTGCCGCCGCTGACGTAAGACGCTGCTGACGTGTGTCTGGTGTGTGTGTGTGTGTATTCTGGTTCTGTTGTCGATCCGCGTTCAGTGACGCTGCTGACGTGACGTCTGGTGTGTGTGTGTGTGTGTGTGTGTGTTCTGGTTCTGTTGTGGATCCGCGTTCAGTGCCGCCGCTGACGTAAGACGCTGCTGACGTGTGTCTGGTGTGTGTGTGTGTGTGTGTTCTGGTTCTGTTGTGGATCCGCGTTCAGTGACGCTGCTGACGTGACGTCTGGTGTGTGTGTGTGTGTGTGTGTTCTGGTTCTGTTGTGGATCCGCGTTCAGGGGTGCTGCTGACGTGTGTCTGGTGTGTCTGGTCACACACACACACACACCAGACACACGTCAGCAGCGTCTTACGTCAGCAGCGTCACTGAACGCGGATCCACAACAGAACCAGAACACACACACACACACACACACAGACACACCAGACACACACACCAGACACACGTCAGCAGCGTCTTACGTCAGCAGCGTCACTGAACGCGGATCCACAACAGAACCAGAATACACACACACACACACACACACACACACCAGACACACGTCAGCAGCGTCTTACGTCAGCGGCGGCACTGAACGCGGATCCACAACAGAACCAGAACACACACACACACACACACACACACCAGACGTCACGTCAGCAGCGGCACTGAACGCGGATCCACAACAGAACCAGAACACACACACACACACACACACACCAGACACACGTCAGCGGCGGCACTGAACGCGGATCCACAACAGAACCGGAAGACAATACAATGCTGAATAAAGTCCTAGTTTTTGTTATTTTTGGACCAAAATGTATTTTCGATGCTTCAACACACTCTAACTAACCCACTGATGTCACATGGACTACTTTGATGATGTCTTTATCTCCTTTCTGGACGAGGACAGTATACCGTACACACATTTACAATGGAGGGACAGAAAGCTCTCGGACTAAATCTAAAATATCTTAAACTGTGTTCTGAAGATGAACGGAGGTCTGACGGGCTTGGAGCGACACGAGGGAGAGTCATTAATGACATCATTTTCATTTTTGGGTGAACTAACCCTTTAATTTGTCACAAGGTTGGCAGAAGGAAGTAGAGGTCTGGATGAAGCGGGAGCACCTGCTACTGTGTGGAAGAAGCGTGGGGACAGGCGTGTTCCTGAGAGATGAAGGCTGGTGAGTTTGGGAGTCCACGTCAGCGCCGGAAGGAAACACTTGACTGTCATCGGACCAGTGGATTTGAGCGACAGCTTCTCCAGGCACAGCTCTGTGAATAACAGATAAACACTCAATTATCAATCTCAAACTTATATCATTATTAATGAATGATAGACAAATATCTTCAGTTACAATCAGTTAAGAGTGATGACACTGTCAGTGTTATTTCTATATAATTGAGATATTTATATAGGTTTTATTAATATTATGAATCAGTTTTTTATTTTACATTAAACATTTTAGTTAAAGTTTTTATTAGTTTTGTTGTTTTTTGTCCTTATAGTACTTTTTCCATTAGTTTTAATTATTTTAGTAAATCAAATTATACTAAATAAAAATGAGAAATTGTGCCTTGGCAATTAATGAAAACTTATATATATATATATATATTTTTTTTTTTTTTTTTATTATTATTTTAGTTAACATTTATTTTATTTCAAGTACCAAAAATGTATTTTTAAACTTTTAAAATTGTAATGTCTGACGAAACAAAGCGTGATCATTTATTTTGTAAGAAATTCAGGGCAAAAAATTATATAAAAGCCTTTGATCAAATTTAGGGAGAAAAAAACTGCCTTTTAAATAGCAACTCATATTTGGCCAAACCTGAGTGTTTTATTTATTTATTATTGTTGTTTTTTGGATTGCCAATATCTATCTTCTGCCATCCAATATTTTGATGCCATTGATTTTATATAATATCTACTCCACCTCTAGGTTGTTGGCTAAAAGTTAGCATCAACTAGCAATGTTCGATCTATCTATGCATGAAAACTGGAGCATATGAACATCTGCAGAATTCATATGCATCGGTTTGACTCACGTCTGCTCTGAGTGAAGCGCGTCTGGAGCCTGTGACGTGTGTTTCCGTCGGCAGGAGGGCAGATCTCCAGAGAAAGGCTCAGGAGACTCGGACACGCTCTCAGCACGCTGATCAAGTGTGTGTGACCGCAAACGTGACTTATACTGAGATCTGTGAGAGAGCAGCCGGGGTTCAGGAACAAGAGTCTGAGAGACTCCACCAACACTGACATCTCCTCCTCACGAATGAGCCCTGCACAGACAAACACAGAGCGACCGCTTCACTGCATTCAGAGATCTCCATATTATGGCAAAAAAAAATATATATATATATATACACTACCGTTCAAAAGTTTGGGGTCAGTGAGAATTTTATTTTTATTTTTTGGAGGAAAGAAATCAATACTTTTATTTATCAAGGAATAATTAATTTGATTGAAAGTGACAGTAAAGACATTTATAATGTTACAAAAGATTCTAACCCTAACCCTATTCATCAAAGAATCCTAAAAAAAAAAAAAAAAAAACTGTACAACTGACAGACCAACAACTGTTTCAACATTGATAATAATAATAAATGTTTCTTGAGCATCAAATCCTCATATTATACTGATTTGTGAAGGATCATTTGACACTGAAGACACTGACACTGGTGATGCTGAAAATTCAGCTTTGATCACAGGAATAAATTACACTTTACTATATATTCACACAGAAAACAGCTGATTTACACTGGAATAATATTTAATACTATAACTGATTTTTGTTGTATTTTTAATCAAATAAGCGCAGCCATGGTTAGCAGAAGAGAATTATTTTAAAAGTATTTAAAATCGTACCGACCCCAAACTTTTGAACGGTAGTGTGTATATATATATATACAGTGACAAAGTAGACATCACAACATTTATTTCCATCAAGATGTGCATTAATATTTGGTCAAGATCTTGTATAGTCAATGCAGATAATTAATGTGTGTAATTGATTCCTCATGTTTCCTCCCAACCATTCTTTCACAATCTGAGCCTGATGAATCTTGACTGGAATATGGCCATGATGTTCTTCTTACATGGTTGTTTAAAGGGGTCATATAATGGTACATGCACTTTTACAAGTTGATTGTACTGAAATGTGTGTTTGCAGTGCCTGTACTCAACCATCATATAATGATAAAAATCCATCCAGTGTTTTTGTTTTAATCTCCTTATATGTTTTCCCCTGCCTCAAATCGAGCCGTTCGACCGTGTGACGTCACACGGTCGGAAGCTCCTCCCACGATTGTTGATTGACAGGCGCGTTTCAACACAGACCCGCCCTCGCTCGTGAGCCAGCTGTCAATCATAGTCTGCGCGGACCGGCGCGGTCATTGTTGATATGCTGGAGCACTGTCTATGAGCAGAATGGCGTCTAAGCGATTGTGGTGTTCTGTTCTTGGGTGTAATAACGAACACAGTCATTTTAATGTTCCTGAATCCGAACCGCTGAAGACGCAGTGGCTGAGTTTGTTTTCGAAGGGAATATTCCCCACGAGCAACGTCAATGCTCTCATGTTTGCGCGAATCATTTCTCAGCAGACTGCTTTATAAACGAGGGTCAGTATAAAGCTGGTTTTGATAAGAAGCTGCTCCTGAATAAAGGATCGGTACCAGATATTCGTGTTCCTGCTGAATCTCCAGAAGAACTGAAGTGAGTGTAACGTTTTATTAAACTTTATATTAATATATTAATCTTTGCAAATCGCTAGCTGCACGCTTCACGATGAATGCGTCGGTTTACACTCTGGGTACATTACGGCATGTTTTCTATGTAAGACGTTCTCAATATAATTCATAATCCCACGTTTATACTGAACAACGCGTTATGGTTATTGTGTTACAAACGGTGTACGCACAGAACAGAGAGGCGGAGTCAGCAATGCTCATGATCATTTAAAGTCATATACACTGAAACGGCGTGCTGAAAACAGAGCTGTTTTTGACCAGGTAAAATAAGTGTTTTCTTACAATACTAATGAGAATTTTTAATTAAAGTATATTACAAACTTTTAATTTAGACCCTAAAGAATCATATTAGCTTGTACAAAAATGGTATTATATGACCCCTTTAAGAAAGGAAAAGCTGCACACTCCATCAATAACGGTTAGAAGAACTGTTGCCAAACATAAACTCAAAAGATTAATGCATGGATCCAATGTTAAGACTGTGAATTTATGGCAAGCTGCTTTTGATAGTGTGTCAACCCTTTTACCATCCATGTAATTTATCTATTTAGTTATTTATTTTATTATTATTATTTGTATATATATTTTTGGGGTCTACATTCTATGTTTGTATTTTATTGTTATTTTCTTGAAGTCTACCAGGGGTGGGGTGAGTTCTCGACTTGTATAGTTGCTTTTTGCTTTGTATTCTTGTGTTTCTTGACTTTAAATAAGAAAACTCAATAAACAGTTGTTAACAAAAAAAAACAAAAAAAATTAATATTGTGCAAAAGTTCATTTATTTCTAGCCTGGCTAACGCCAGACCACGTATCATTGAGAATGATACGTGGTCTGGGAACCACATGTTCATTTTCTCGTATTTGAGGCGTGGTTTATGAATGCCCAGAGCCGTTTATTGGGTGCTACGAATGTCTATCAAATGCGCCTGTACGTAGTCGTAGCTCATAGCCAATCGTTTCAATTATACCAGATGACGTATGCAGAGCGACAGAAATTAGATGAGGAAGACGACGATGGGTCAGAGATTTATGCGTACACGAAACCATAGATATCATAATAAAGGCTAGATGTCTTACGGCGGAGTCACTTCCGGCATCACCGTTCGGCCATCTTGTCACATTCAGGCTCTGATGTAAGGTGAGTGATCAGCATGAACACAAATCCTCTTATCTCGCTGAAATCTTGACGGATTTACAAACGTTATTAATATGGCTATAATTCTGAATGCCTGAACATATATGTTATAATTATTCATAAGTATGCAGTGTCATAACTACATCTCTGACGTTTATAACAAACCAAACCGTTTGAAAATCAGTAGAAAATTGAGCAAGTTATGGTTATTTAAAAGTACATGCACCATTAAAACACCATGTTACGAATGAGCGAGCTGCCTGTGACAAGATGGCCGCCAGGTGCGGACGTCGACCTCCATTGGCCAGCAGCGCGGACGAGGCATCTAGCCTTTATTATGGATATCTATGCACGAAACTACCATGAAACTACTTAGAACACTATCTAATTAAGGCTGCATCGAAGGTAACTTTGCGTCTGCTGCCATGTTGGATTCATAGATATAAACAAACTGCTTCGGTGTGTCGTCATCGTCTCACTGCTCCCTCCCCGTTCTGTGATTGGTTCCCTAGATGAGGCGAAAATCTGGACCATGGTATCCAGACTGCCTTGCAGAGTGAATAAAATCGCGCTGCGCAAAGGCAGTATGGGGAAACCCAGGCTAATTTATTTCAGTAATTCAACTTAAAAGCTGAAACTAATATATTAAATAGACTCATTACATGCAAAGTGAGATATTTCAAGCCTTTATTTGTTATAATTTTGATGATTATGGATTACAGCTTATGGAAACCCCAAATTCAAAATTAGAATATTGTGTAAAGGTTTTCATAGATGCAAGACATAATCATTAAAATTATATAACATCTAACATATATATATATATATATATATCACACAAATAAAGGCTTGAAATATCTCACTTTGCATGTAATGAGTCTATATATTAGTTTCACCTTTTAAGTTGAATTACTGAAATAAATGAAGTTTTACACCATATTCAAATTTTTCAATCTGTATAACATGCTAGAAACATAACAATCACTGAAATAATGTCCAAAATCCAAAAAGCAACTTTTTTTTGTTGTTGTTGTTTTGCCGGGAAGTGTTTTTAAATTTTTTGGGGAGAGTGGGATTTTTAAATGCTTTTGAAAGAAGTCTCTTCTGCTCACCAAGGGTGCGTTTATTTGATCAAAAAAAATCTATTGGAATATGTTTTCTATTGGAATATATATTAAAGTGTAATTTATTCCTGTGATCAAAGCTGAATGTTCAGCATCATTACTCCAGTCTTCAGGGTCACATGATCCTTCAGAAATCACTCTAATATGATGATTTGCTGCTCAAGAAACATTTATGATTATTATCAATGTTGGAAACAGTTGAGCTGCTTCATATATTTGTGGAAACGTTATACATTTTTCCCAAGACTCTTAGATGAAAAGAAAGTTAAAAACAGCATTTATTTGAAATGGATATCTTTTATGTGTATTATTTATAAATGTCTTCACTTTTAATAAAGTGAATGCATTCTTGCGGAATAAAATAATTAATTTCTTAAACAAAAAACCCTAATGACCTCAAACATTTGAGCAGTAGTGTATGTATATATATATATATATATTTCCACCTGACTAGTACATATGTGTAGCCTGGCTCCGCTCTCCTACGTACTTCCGCTCAATATTCATTTTCCTTCAGTACTACGTCTGGGTTTGCTGTTTATTCTTGGGTTTTCTCCGATCAATTTTTTACCGGTCCAATCAGCGAACAGAGGGAGTGGCTGAGGCTGAGGACGATGACGTTGATGTCCTGCGCTAGTTTGAGTCGTCATACGTCACGACCAGTGGTGTAGTGCAGGGTATACGGCGTATACCCACTTCTTTTTCAGTCGGCATTGCGTATACCCACTTCTAAATCCCCTCTGATGCGCATCATTTAGTTGCTAATCCAATCTCGTAAATAAAAAACACCCAGTCAGGGTCGTACCCCTAATATTAACTCTAATTTGTTGCAGCAATGATTCTTCCATCGCGACGATAACTGACCTTCTCATCTGATCTGCTTCAGCACTCAAACACCCGCTCGTCAATGTTAATATGTTTGAGACCAAAGCAAGCAGGATTTTTGTTCACAGAAGCGCGAGCCGAGCGCTAATCCCAACGCGACGCTTCACTTCAGTTAACGATCATACAGTGCCAGATAGGATGCAAGTAGCTAAAACATACGGCTGTTTTTCGATAGAATTTTTAAATGACCGACAGAAATAATCAGTTTGATCAAAGACAGTGGAAATTATAAGCTCGATTTAACAACACAAGCACCCTATTAAATATATAGCCATTATTATTGTATTTAATTTGTATAACGTTCGAATGTGTTCGACTTTTCACTGTTTGTATCACTCCGCCTGTCTGTGTTTGCCCCCGAACCGCCCTAGCAATATCATTTATGGGACCTGGATATTTAGAAAACCCTACGTACGGCCCTGATATGCAAGAATACTAGTGATTCTATATGTTCTATTGTATTCATTATATTCTATAGCCTATTCTACAGTCTTGCATATTCAATACTAATGCAAGACTAGTCTTACGTCACTGTTTATAACAAAGAGCGTTCATCCTTTGCTGGGACGCTTAAAAAAATATTGGGGGCATAAATTAAGAGTATTCCCACTTCTCCAGGCACCACTACATCACTGGTCACGACCAAACGTCAGCGATTGGTTACGGCAGATCCAGAGTGACTCTGGGCAGATTCAATAGTTTTAGACTTCAACAGAGGACCCGCCTACAAGGAAGTTAACGCTTGTCAATGGAGCGAGGCCAGACTCTCTGTACAAATGAAATGTGTACGAGAGTCTGGAAGGACCAGGCTAACATGTGTAGACGTTTAGGAAAAACTAGATATCATATTTAAGTATCAGCCGGTACTTACAGTCGCTGTGATGAAGATGTAGTGTGTGAAGACACAACCATGTAGGCAGGATGTGTGACACCGTGGTCAGGATTTCACATTTGGACACTTCAAAATCAAACGAGTGGATCTGACCTTCAGGGCAGTGGTCAGCAGGGCTGCTAAAGGACGAAAACTCGCGGCACAAAACCTCTGGATTTTCCTCCATGTCTAAAGCGAGACGTTTGGCTGCGGGTTCCTCCAGCTCTCCATCATCTTCTCCTGAACAATGGCCATCAGCGTGGGGCGTCTCTGGTGACACTGATGACCCCTGAGGACCCCTGTGCCTGGACATGAGCCAGCGCAGAAAAGATGAATCTGAGTTTCTTCTCAGAACCACTTCTCTGACAGAGCCGTGGTCCAGGAGCCGGTGGAGGATGAACAGCACGTGTTTCCGCCCCTGTTTGAATAGAGCATTGGCATCCAGTAATCTGAGGGACGTCACGCCCGTTTCAAGGGTGCTCAGGATGGGCCGCAGGGCACCGGATGCGAGCCTGCAGATGTTTTTGGTTGAGGTGTTTAGAGAGAGGACTCTGACGTGCTTCACGGTCATGGAGAGGATGGAGGAATCGCTGAGGTTGGAAAGGTACGCTCCTCCTCGACTGACTTGGGTGAACATGACCATGTGAAAGAGCCTTTCCAAGCATCGCTGCTTCCAGTCCTGAGTGAGCGGCGCTGACTGAAAAAACACACAATCAGATTTCAGGTTTAGTGCACTTGCACATAACACGGGTCTCATGGGGACCAAGGTTTGAATCAAATCAAATTTAAAGGTCTATATAAGAAATTCAATTTGTTTTAGCTAGTTTGCGCTAAAAATCCATCGTTAAAAAAATCATACACAAAAAATAAAATAAAATCTTTATTGGCCATGTTAGTTGCACTTATAAGGAATTTGACTTGACAGTTTGCTCTAAAAACTCAAAAAAGAAAGAAAAAAAAAGGTCCACATACAGATTTCGACTTCCAATCAAAAATAATACACAAATAAAATAAAAGAATAAATATTTAAAAGGTTTATTGGCCATGTATGTTGCACTTGGTAGTTTGCTCTAAAAAAAAATAATAATAATAAATAATTCACAACTAAATAAAATTAAATTAAAATGTCTACATAAGGAATTTGGAGTTTGCTCTACAAATCCAGAATAAAAATAAAACAATACACAAAAAAAACGAAATAAAATACTATGTTTATTGCCCATGTACATTCCACTTATGAGGAATTTGACTTGGTAGTTTGCTCTAAAAACTCAGAATATATATATAAAGGTTTAAAGGGTTAGTTCACCCAAAAATGTAAACTCTGTCAGTAATTACTCTCCCTCATGTTGTTCAACCCCGTAAGACTTTCGTTCATCTTCGGAACACAAATGAAGATATTTTTGATTAAATCTGAGAGCTGGATCACTCCTCCATAGGCTTCTTAAGGGATCGAAACTGGCCGGCCCAAAAGTTATGAAAGACATTGTTAAAAGAGTCCGAGCGACTACAGTGGCTCAACCTTACGTTTATCAAGCGAGGAGAATACTTTTTGTGCGCAAAAAACAAACAATAATAACGACTTTATTCAACTATTCATTTCCTTCTCTGTGGGCCTCGAGTGAGTTCACGTAGTGATATTGCGCACAGCTTCTGGGTTGCACGTCACACGCAGGCTCACTATTGGCCGACGCTGGTCATGTGTGTGATGCCATGTCCCAAGCACACAACTATAATGTTCTCCTTATAATTTTATGTAGCCTATATGACAGACCTACACTGAAAATGTTGCACTTAACTGTATTTTCCTTTTTTAAGAGATTTAAATCATATTTCAAGCAATTCAAAACCATCATGTTGAACAGTGTGCATCTGAAGTGTCTCAGCTGAAGGAAATAATAAATTTTTATTGCCAATAAAATATTGTCCAAAATTTCTTATTGGACCGATAACGATAGTAAAAATGAACATATTGGCCGATATTGTACATCCCTAGTTTTACTCCCTTTCTCTCTCTCTCTATGATAAAGTGAATCAAATCACACAATCACCGAGATTTGAATTAATAACCCAGCTGTCCCTGTAAAGAAGTTGAACTCAGTTCAGAAGTACAGCAGGAACATGCTATGAAGAATTCATGAAACCTTGTCAATCAATATCATTGTCATTTTTTTCCCCAGCTGTGGTACGATAAACATTGACAGCCAATCAGAATCCATCTTGCTTTAAAGTGCTCGAGCATTTGTGTTCTGAAGATGAACGAAAGTCTTACGGGGTTGAACAACATGAGGGAGAGTCATTACTGACAGAGTTTTCATTTTTGGGTGAACTAACCCTTTAATGGCCATGTAAGTTATACTTATAAGAAACTTGACATCACAAATAATGACATTCAAGATTTGATTCAGCAGAGATGATCATATGAAGAGCAAACCTTCGATCTCCAGCGCCACGTCTGATCCAGATCTCTCCATATTGTTGCCCAAATTACAGAGGTGGAGATTCCTGAAAGAACATCAGGCTTTAGCATTAAATCTAACACCCTAACTTTATTCATTAACATGGACTGTATTTGAACATTTTAATTCAAAGGAATCCATTTTCTACACTATTATATATATATATATATATATATATATATATATATATATATATATATATATACACACACACACACATATATGAAGAGAGCACACTGGGATTAATCAGATGCTCTTCATTCATATGTATTGTACCTTTAGTGGCAGCAGCAGTTTCAATCCTGTCCAGATAGTAAATGTTTAGATGTGGCAGTAAGTCTTTCAGGAGAGAGACAGGCAGATCTAGATCAAGAAACATAGAAACAATATTATACATGTCAAACATGGTCACGTCCTTTAAATTAGGCCTAACGTTACATATTAAGTCTTGAATAGGGATTGACAAGTAAATAATTGTTGTTATAAGTAAAACTCACTCAAAACCTTTCTTTCTAATAGATCAATGTTTTGAGCAACTTTCACGATGCACATTTGCACCAACGAGCTTCCATCTGAAACTCCCATTTTAGCACAAATATTGTTTTCTTACAGCCGAGCGCGTGCTCGATACATCTCTACTGTTGTGCTTCCGTCATGTGTTTCGGAAATAAAAATGGAAGGAAATCTGTGACTGAAAGCTATTGTTCCTCCAGGTGGCGCTCGGCTGCTCAAAAAGCGGAAGCTTTCAGTAAACTGCATTTAATCTTGATCTTTTCCCCCACTTATTTGTGACATTTGTACACTTCAAAGTTTAATATTTTAAATTGATACATTCAAATAATTAACAGCTGATATGCAAATGTAAAGTCGCTGACATAAGGCTCTATACAATTATATATATTTTTAAATCGTCTTCAGTAATCACACACGACTGCGATTGGGCCGAAGTGTCTACTGCTGAGAAAAGTAACAGTTACCACGTGAAAACTTTTTTATTTATAGATAACACAGGCCTACTGAATATCATTCTAACAAGTTACATCTGAATTTTATCTTTATATCCATCAAATTAAAAACTCTCAGTAAAGACAGGTTTGGGCTGCTAAGTCCCGTAAGTTAAAACAACTAATTTCATGCAAATTTCCATTCTAGTCGCTCAAATTCTATGCAAAGAACCAACGCATCGACTCCTAACTTCCGGGCGCTGCTGTAGCCAATAAAACGCGCTGTATGAAACACGTGGTGCATGTCCCGCCGAGTACAGCACTCCAGCTCATGAAAGGTTCTTCAAAAGCAATAAATCACTGATTACATAAAACAAAAAAGTAGTATTTTTTTCATCACAATTGCCCCATTAAATATGTCCCTTTGAATAAGCATAGCACCCTTTCTATTTTATTCCTGTGTGAGAAGTTGCATCTTAATGTATTCTACACACTTTGCTATTGTTTGCTAAATACATAAGTAAGATTCTTCAGAAGCATGTGAAGACAAGACATGACAAAGCAGAGTGTGTGACGCAGCATTATCTAAATTACGCACAGTGCAAGAAGATTATACAATGTTGAATGTTCACTCTATTTAAGCACCAGCACATTATTATAAACACTCTACTGTATTACTATGAACACAACTCGAGTTCATTTATAATGTTCCTTGATGCTTACCTGTTTTCATTTCTATCAGGTCTACTGTATACTGTTGATGCCTCTTTGCTGCTCCGCTCCTTACACCGAAACACATTTGATCCCAACAACCAAGTTATGGCAATAAAGTATTCCATCCAGCAGTTGTCTTCATTTCTTTATTGTTTTCTGTTATTTGACATTAGCAACAAACCCAAATTCTGTGTCAACATCATCTCTTTACTGATCTCAACAACAGAGGACACATTATTTCATATGAGAGAAGAAAACAGATAACAGTTATTAATACTTCAGTCACAACTCGGCAAATATGGAATCGGTTACAGGGAATTGTTGAATCTGGGTCAATAATCACATTATATAAATAACCGAGCAGTGTATTTCTATAAGCAGACAACCATCTATAAACAGCTCCATTTATTTGACTGACTGGAAGACCTTGTGAGCCACCTGTAGAAAACAAGAACAGAACAACAAGTTATAGCAAAAATTATGTTCACAAATTATTTTAAACAGTTCATTAAAGAGCAAAAATTCTGTCAGACAAAAGAAGATTTTGAGAATTTTCTCACACACAAAATAGCAGCATACAAGTTAGGTATGACAAACAAGAGTAAATAACGATAGATTTAGCATTTTTACTTTAACTCAAAGACTCTTCCTAAAATGCCTCATCTAAACCTCTCGACCAATCATTAGCCGTTTCCACCCACAGTTGTGAATTTAAAGGGATAGTTCTCCCAAAAATGTTCTTTTTGTACTCATCCTCAAACCATCCTAGGTGTATATGACTTTCTTCTTTCAGACGATTGCAATCTGAGTCATATTAAAAACAATCCTGGCTCTTCCCAGGTTTATAACGGGAGTGAATGATACCTGAGATTTCGAAGCCCAAAAAGCGCATCGATCATAAACGTATAATCCAAGCGACTCCGGGGGGATAATAAAGGCCTTCTGCAGCGAAGCCATGCGTTTTTGTAAGAAAAATATCCATATTTATAACTTTATAAAATATAATAAATCACTGGCTTCCTGTAACGGCCGTATGCGAGTCGACCTCTGACCCGCCACATGACGAGTGACCTTTGACCTGACGCATGAGGTAGGATGTAGGAGTAGCGCAAGCTTTGACACCTCTCGCGGTTCAAACAAAGAGAGCTGGGAAGAAACTCAAGCTCCTCCCACATTTATCATTAAAGGGGGGGTGAAATGCTATTTCATGCATAGTGAGTTTTTTACACTGTTAAAGAGTTGGATTCCCATGCTAAACATGGACAAAGTTTCAAAAATTAAGTTGTACGTTTGATTGAGTATTTCTGTTCTCAAAATACTCCTTCCTGGTTGTCACAAGTTTCGGAAAGTTTTTTTTCGAGTATGGGCGCGTATGACGTCAGATGCGCCGGAATTTCCTTATACGGTCCTAAGGCATACCTGTCAACATTTGGTTTTCAAAATCCGGGGGGAGGGGGGGGGGTAAATGTACAACTTGTAACGACTAGAAATAAGGTGTGGCCCCTTTAAGAGCTGTGCGCTCCCTGTTGAACTGTCGGCAGTATTGTATTGTATGTGCCTGGGCCTCGAATACCCCTTTTACTGTCTATGCGAACACCCCATGTATGCGGGTAATTTCTGTTTGATGCTAATTTCTATCTTATTTTGTTTATTAAGTAACGATGTGGACGGTAGAACGTGTGACAGACAGTTAGGCTACACGAGTTCGATTTGGGAATAAAGTGCGAGTTGTGAAATGTCAATCGCCTCCGTGTGTCTGTCTGGCCTCTGCATGCAATAACTTCAGTTGTGAGCTATCCCTAATCTTCCTGAAGCAACGCGTTACAAACTGTACTTCAGTTTTATTGCGGGGACACCACCTTCACCTGCCATCATGTCTATCGGCTCGCTTGCGGGTTAAACTTTCCGCGACTGCGCAACTGGGTTAGCCTATAGGTTGCCAGGTTGAGGTGACAAACGGGTTGAAATTGTAAATGGTCTGTGGATTGTGTGAATATAATGCATTTAGTGCTGGGCCGTTATCGGCGTTAACGTGAGACTCTTATCGGGCGATAAAAAAAATATCGCCGTTAATCAAAGTTGGGTTGGGATCATAAATAGCTTTTTCGAATATCATTATATTTTCGCGCAATTCTAATGGGTAGTATGACGCCGCGCCTACTGTCACAGATCGCGCAGTAGGGTATTTTCCTGTCACGGACACAAAGGTGTACTTTTACTTTGTTACGTTGGGCGACGTTCCTCTCGTTACTTTATTTTAATGCAATACGTTGTTAAATGAGTTTATTCCAAGCGCGCTGTGTCCTTTGTATGGGCATGAGCGATGCTCATTTACAAATGAATCACTCTTTTGAGTCGATTCTGTTCAAAGACTTCATCAAACAAGTTGTCAGATGATCTGTCTAAATCGGTTCGCGAATCAGTTGATCTGTTCAGTTCCTCGCGCACTGAATCGTCTGAAGCGCTTTCAATTCACACTCGGAGTCGAAACAGGAAGATTTAAGAGCATCAAGAGCGTTGGATGAAGTGGCCGATCTACAGTCTAGTCTAGTGAATGCAAATCTGCAAATGCATCATATTTTTGTCAGCGATGAAGAACTTTATTAGTTGAACATCTTTGTAAGCTGTCTGTGAATGAATGATTCCACAGGACGATACATTCGATTTCATTTCATTCAGGTAATACATTGTGTGTGTAGCCTATTGCGCGTGTATTGCGCAGTGGCATAATCACACGAATAGTTTACATTGATTGAAACTAATTTGTTTAAAAATGAGGCTATTGCAGTAACAAGGCAGGTTCACATAAAATTCTTATGACATATGATGACATTATTTTTTGATCTAACGAGCATTGGCGATGCAAAAACGGACTGTCGTGCGTATTGTTTTTCTTCTTCCAATTAGCCTACTATGTTAAAAAAAAGGACGAAAACATGTTACTTGTTCAATTAATAAACAGTTTGTTTGATGACAAATCGCTAAAGATGAAATTGGCCTCCCTTTCTGTCATTGCGTTTTTTTTTTTTGTTTTTTTTTTTAACGATATTCGACTTTTGCTCCTCGATTGTCGAATGGCATTTTTGGCAGAAATGCACATCCCTACGCGAGGCAAACTATTCTCAAAGACTTACTTTTAGTCATTATTTGGGTAGCACACATATTCTGAATGCCTTCGGGAGAATTCAAATGAGCCATTTTAATCTAGATTAATCTAGATTAATTTCAATATTAATCTAGATTAAAAAAATTAATCTATGCCCACCTCTACATTTAATACAATCTGGCAACTGGTCAACATTAGACAAACATATTGGTCCGATTATTCATAAAAGAGTTTCGGCCATGCAAATTACGGGAGTTTCCCGAGAAATATAACAAACCGGGAGGGGTCCGGGAGATAGGGCTAAAAAACGGGAGAAACCCGGGAAAAACGGGAGTGTTGACAGGTATGTCCTAAGGGTAGAGCGATAGCTGTAACCTATGCCCATCAAAGCGCTGTGCATCGGCTGCGCTCGAATATGTCACCAAAGAAGTGTGTTTTCGGTTGCCAAGGCAAGACAACACTGCACAGATTCCCGAAGAATCAAGCGTTAAGGGACCAGTGGATGGAGTTTGTTTTTCCAGAACATCAACACAGTTGTGCAAGTGCTTGTTTGTTCCATGCATTTCGAGGATGATTTTTTTTATAAACAAGGCCCAGTTCGAAGCCGGATTTGCTAATCGTTTAGTTCTCAAGGATGGAGCAGTCCCAACACTAAAGGTTAACGGTCTTGCGTTGGAACCGCAGGCGGTGAGTAGAACTGCTTCAAATATCTGTGTGTCTATCGGCGTGTAACTTAAGCACAGCAAGTAGGCTAAACAACATGATCACGTATAGTTAATGTATCTGAGCATGCGATGTATGGTGTGTGTTTGTTTAAATACATTTGTTTAGGTGGCTACTGTAGTGTCTGTTTGTTTATTGTAAAACCAAATCATGTCTTC